ATGTACACCAGTGTGTATGCAACCTAATCTAGGTTCATGTTGTTGGGAATATAATCTTACTGCTTGGGAAATCCCATGCGGCAATCTCATGGCAACGTTCACAGTTATTGGAACCAACATCAGATAGCCCACGATCGTCATATTGCCGTTTATGACAAAGCCTTGCTGGAAGCAGACCAGGTGAAATGTAAAGTCAATTCTGCAAGTTTAAACCAATAACGTTTACTTGATAACTGGATCAACATAAAGAACTTTATTCTCACTTTTATCAGATTCTATGAAAATAACATAAAGCCAGGCTCCGGAAGAAAACATTTGGGAACAAAAACAAAAAGTGTGAAAAACTTGGGAATGGTAAATAGATACAGATTTACGAAGATTAAAAAACTGGGAGAAAAGTGTGGTACAGTTTTTACCCCAGTCCTTAAATATTCAAAAATCTGTATTCAATAATCATTTGATTTTTTCATCAAACACCCATTCAAGAAAAAATAAATGCCCCGGCCGTATATTTTTGAGCTTATTGTGTGACCAAAGACTTATTGATCACAATCAGTTGTTGAGAATTATTTTTCTTCCATTACATTTGTTTAGTCTTTTCTTTTGGGGAGGGGTGTTTATTCGAGAACAAAATAATGCCCCAGGGCATTTATTCAAGGGAGGTTATTCCAAATGAAGCTGTAGATGAAGAGTTTATTCAAAGGTTCTTTATTTTAGTTTTTCAAAATTATAGTGGGAGAATATAAAAGCAATGTTACATCCACCCAAATGAGATTTTGAGAAAAATCAGTAAGAATGAATTTCCTTGCTGTTTCTTCTTTCTGGATGATCCTAACGTGACAAATTTCAATAAATTCTAATTATTATTACTAAATTTTAAAAATGAAAAGCAGATATTGAAGTTCGATGCCTTCATAAGAGAAATGTTTATACTGATTACCCCAGGAAAGAACCCTTTTTGGTTCTTCTGGGTAATTAGAAATATTGTTATGCCAATCTGAATGAATTTATCCTCTATCAATGTTATATACATTTTTACATTTTTTTTTTTTTTTTTTCCCCTGAATTTTATTTTTACTGTTAAGCGCATTGAGGCTTTAGCATAATGCGCTATATAAGCCAAAATTATTATGATTATTATATACTATATTTGTGTAGCTCTTGCTTTTTTTTGTCTGCTTTATTTAAAAATGCATTAAAAAGCATAGAAACAAGTTGCTTCTACAAAATGTACTTAAAATGTTTAAATAAATACATAAATTAAATGAGTAAAAATAAGTAAAATATATATATTTTTTTAATTTGGAAAATGAATTTAAATATAAATCAAAAATACAATCAAATAAATGAAAAAAATAAAAATCAATTTCATTATTACACAAAAGTTTGGTAAAAACCAGTACTTTTTCAACACAAAACAAATAATAGTTAAATACTGAAATACTACTACTAATAATAATAATACTTAAGGCTCATATGGAGTGCCCAAGACTCACCCATATTATGGAGCTGTGAGAGAGACCATGCCCAAGGTCTCAAAAGCTTTTAGCCTTGAAATTAGCTGGGCTTATTTACCTAAGGTATAATTCTTTTTTTTTTTTAATGTATAATTCAGATATTATTCAAACACAGACAAAATAATTTCTTTAAAAAACATGGCATTCTGATACTTAGCAAACTTTCACTACATGCAAATGTTATAATCCATCTATGCATTATGATTTTTAAATTTCCACTCAAAAGCAGATGATTAGGCACCAACCAATGAATGAATGAATGAATGGTTTTAATCAAAGACAATAGACAAGGTTCTATAGGCAGCAAAAGCATACATCAAATTATAAAGTTTAACTATGATATCAATCTTTGCGAATTAATGGCAAAGTTATCTAATAAAGAATCACTACAGCAGAAGCTTTTTAGTATTAGAAACCAAATTTTAGGCAACAGAGTTCACCCTCCAATGCAAGACCTTTGGGTCCTTATAGTTCGTGGTGGTCTCCAACTAGAAGGTCAGCTTAGTTCTTTGTTCTCTCATGGTTTTTTTTAAGGTAAGTTAAACAATTTTTAATTGTCTCCTAAATGTTTTATCGTTCTTTTTTTGAAATTTTATCAATTACTCAATTGTGTGCAAAATTTTTGTATATTTTATAATTTTAATTATGACCCTTATATTTTATATAATAGCTAATCTTGTAGTTAAGTTTAATTTTCTGAGGCTCCAGACTTTTGTCATGGTGACTTTGTTGCTTTTGGAGCTCCAAGGCTTTTGTCTGAAAAAAATAAATGAAAATGAAATGAAATTAATACTAGTGTTAAAAGAGTAAAAACTTTTATTTGGTTCTTAGAAAAATTGGTCATCAAATAGAGGGGTCTCAAAATTAGAGGAATCTTGAATTGGAGGATGAACTGTAGTTGAAGCAATAGAAACAAATATGGAAACTAAGTGGCACGTTGCTAGTTATACACACTATCTGTCCAGGATAGCAGAAACCAGAAGCAAGGGTCTTTATTCAGCAGACTTAATTCAAGATTCAAGATATATTTGTTTCTTTGAGTTGATACAAAAATAGCAAACAGTAAAAATTGAAGATAACACTATAAAAAGTAAGACAGCATTTAACTGATATAATATTAAATATATAATACGAAAATATATACATATGGAATTAAACAAGGTTGAACTATATTTTGTGTGGTGTGAAATAATGGTAAACTTTATTATGAAATTATCTACTGAAGTGTTTGTAGAACTGCACATGGTAAAAAATGATTATTTATGATGTTTGGTATGTTTGAAAGCTGTAATTATTCTGCCAGATTTACGAACTGTTCTTCTAAGTGTTAGCCCTTAGGTCTATAGGAATACTACAATAATCAGCGTGATAGGTATTATTAATTTCTATGGTCTTTATCAGTTTTCACGACTCAGCTTGCAACCCAAAACAAAATGTTGTTTCTTTAGATGTGGGTGCAGAATTGTGACAATAATTTCTTCACCTTACTGTCCTGGTTATGTTCTTGATCTTGAATTAAAAAAAAAATAAAACATAATATTTTCAGAACTGCTCAAAAATTTAAGGTTTTGGATCTATTTTTGTTTATTTTAATGCAAAAGAACTATTTTCAAATAGAAATAAAATCATTATTTACTTGAATGAATGAAGTGAAATAAAACAAAGATTTATGTATTTCAAACCTGTTTAAAGTACCAGAGTTGGTTTATTTGGGTTATTATGACCCTAGTGGATTAAAGTCTCTACCCCTGGATGCATAGTATGAATATGGTGGTGTGTGGGGCACTAGGACATAAGTGGAGTGAGGTTGCTATCCCTGGATGAACAGTTTAATTAGAGAGGGGTATGCGGGGTCACTAGGACATTAGTGGAGTAATGTCCTTACACCTCTTTCTTGATGCATAATTCTTTTAGGCACACAGGAATTTTTTGGTATTTTATTTTGAATATTTTTCTGCATAAGCTATATATTGCAAAAAAAACTAAAGCAGAAACATTTTCATGCATCTTTATAAATAGAGCTACAGAGGCCTATACCACCAGAAAGTTTTCTACCATGATCTATTTCAGCGTAGGACGTAGTTTCATCAGTACGAATCACGCGTGATGGAGAAGATGGGCTGAGATTAAGATCAGCATAAGTAATTTCATTCTGTAAATAGAGTTTTTCATGAATAAAATTTACGCATGAATTCAAACAATGCTATTGTTGTTCAAATGAAGTGCCTAAACTCCTACAAATTACTTCATCCATGTACTGTATATGAAATCACAAAATAGATGTAATATTATTATAATGCTATTGTTGTTCAAATGAAGTGCCTAAACTCCTACAAATTACTTCATCCATGTACTGTATATGAAATCACAAAATAGATGTAATATTATTATAATAGAAAGGTTTTTTTATCAGTATTTTAATCACATATTTTATTATTTCTTGTAAATTAAGTATTTGTGTAATAGCATAAAAGAAAATAAAAGCAACGCCATGTTATATATTGGTCATGCTTATAAGGATAAAACAGAACAAATTTCTGTTGATTAAATAGAAATTTCAGTTACCACAAAATTAACAGCTATACATTTGAGATACCTATTTATCCTTAACTATCAATAATGACAACTTTTTTTCTACAATCATGCAAAACAAATAAAATTACAAATCATACTGTACAAATTTAATGCTTACAGTTTCACAACTGTTATCTTGTTCCCCTTGATAAAAAAAAAAGTCACATGAAAGATTATATACTAAAGTAGATGATTAATGTCAATAATTTTGAAAACTTAAAATGGTAAGATGAACTTAATTACTCAAAAAGGCATTTTCTCTAAATGCTTTGGTACAAAATTAAAAAGGATTCTTCATATTGACACAATGTGAGATATGAATGTGTAGAACTTCATTAAATACTGACCATAAGTCACTTTGAATTTAAAGGAAAGAACGTCAACCTAAAATAGATTAAAATAATTATATTTAACTCTTTCTGTCTTTCCGCAACAGGCATTGTAGTTCAGTAAACTAATGCCAAAAGTCTTCTCTAACACTTAAAGTACAAAAATGTTATATCAGCACGCTTCTCTTAATTCCTAAGACAAAAAACTAACGAAAATGATAACCATATGATGTGGAAATCCCTTTCAAAAGACACACAACTGCAATGCACATCCATTATCAGAAAATGTTGATGTGCATGCCAAGTAACCATGTTACAAAAAATATTATACAATTGGAAGCCAACACATGGAAAACACAGACCAGGAAGATAAAAACAACATGGAAGATCAGTAAGTTTCTCACAAGTCAAGCAGTGAAATATGCATGATGCTATCTAGTACAGTCAGTAAATGTATTTGTGTTTAAACCTTACATGTCAAATGATTTGTAAATACTTTAAGCCATAATACATTTTACATAAAACTAGTTCATAATGAAATGAGAAATATGGAAGTTGGGACAAATTGAATCAAGTTTACCTTTTTCATCAGGAAAGGTGGAAGTCAGTGGTTGACTTTCTTTGTTGATATTCTCCATTGACTTTAAAAAAAAAATGATATACTGTTGTTACTCAGCAAGTTTTGTAAATAGGTATACAAAGAAAGCCAGGAAATATATGCAGTGAGGTATTAAATTCCATGTTCATGCTACATGCTACATCTCCATATACTTTTATTTTTAATAGTTTTATTTTCCTTTTCTGCATTAATGTTTTGATGTTAAATTGTATATTATTAAAGGGGAATGGTAAATTTAAATTGTTAGTATAGTTTTATTTAGTGGGAAGAGGTAACATATGAATTAACAGGGAAAGAGGGGGGGGGAAGAAGGATTAATTTAAGCTGGTTTATTTTATTTATTTTTATTTCATTTTTTTATTTCAAGTGTCTTGTAATCATTTGTCTATATCTTGAAGTTTTGTATTTTGGAAGCACCTTTGTTTCCAAAAGTCTAAATAAATATTATTATAATTATAATTATACTTATAATTATAACTATTATTATTATTATTATTATTATTATCATTATTATTATTATTATTATTATTATTATAATACTGTATACCTTGTTGTCTTAAGTGTTATATACATTAAAACATATTATAACATACAGTGTTCACAGAGTCCTCTTCTTCTTTGGGGTCATTGTTACCACAGTGAACCTTACCATCAGCAATTCCTCTTTCACAGTCTTTTTTTTTCAGCTCAAGTCCCTCATAATGTTTACCCTCACTAAAAAAGATAAAAATTTAATTATTTCTCCTGTACTGTACACAAAAAATTCAAAATTGGAATAAAACTGATTGGTATACAAAACATCTGTATTGACACAATATTTGAAACCAGACCTCTGCAAGGGGGCCGAGGTTGTTATGCAGCCATTTTCAAAATATTACAGTTGAACAAATTTTAAGATGTACCTCCGCATTCCTGTAAATGGTACTTTAAAACTACAAAAATACTTTTTAACACCAGTACTCTGTGAGAAATAATTGGCTAATCCTCGCCAATGAAGGATTCTGTACCCCTTCCCCAAGGGGTGGATCCAGGACTTCTCTTCAAACAGAGATCAACATTTTTTTTTAAATTCTTAATTAAGGTAGAAATGTTATAGGGACTTTTTCGTGTCCTTTTGTTGCATTATATTCTTTAGATTCCCATCATCAATTGGAGAGTTAAAACAGGCAATGGCATCTTTTCATTTTTTGTTTTGTTTTTCAATCAAAATTAACATTCAATCCACTGTACCACTGATGTTAAATTATATGGAGTCTTGGCTGGAAGTGAGTAATAAAGTTCTTGTGTATTGCTTTAATATTGATCCAAAAAAGGTTTTCAAGCAGTAGTGTGCAATTACATGACCAATACCACATGTATGCAAAAATACATGGGAAAAACATGCTTGGAAATTGAAGTTTGCTTGTTGTTTAAAAATTTTCACTGAATTTGGTGAAATCAGAATCACAGATGTATGGAAAAACATGAACAGGCCATTGCAAAGTATCTTATCGCTTTACAGCATAGAACCAATAATAATGGTAGTGTAGATAATAATAATAAAATAGTGTAATTAAACATTAATTTATTTAAAATTACACTTTCAAAATGCACACCCACAAAAAAAAAGATCAAATAAAATGTTCAAAGTTTGATTTTACAAAACAAACTCTTTCATGTGAAACTTATTAAAACCAAACAAAGCATAACAAAATATCTTGCACTTCCACTTTTGAAATTTCACTAGAATTCTATCAGGAAGAAATTAAAATTATGTAGTAGTACTGTAGGTTGGTGGTTTACATGTTACTATCAATCCCATGGAAAGTCCAATATTTGTGTCTCATTTGCCAACATTTTATACTACACTGTTGGTTGTTGTTATTGTTTTTTATATATTTTACCATTTTCAATCATTCCCATTGAAATCAAGCTTGCTGCTATTTTGCCTCATATGTGAATGTGGTGAGGGCTTTGTAAGTGAATAGTCCATTAAACATCTAACTACAAAAGTACTGCCTGTAGTACTAGTTGGAATTTAATAGTTCTATGACAAATATTTTTGCAAACCTTCAAAAATAATAAATATATATAATTTAACACAGATAAAAATTTATTAATTAAAAATGACATAAAAAAAATCTAAAAACATACTTAATTATAGGACAGGAAACAAGTATTTTCTGTTGTACCTGAAAATTATATAATAAAAACCCAAAATAAAAGATGAGGAGTGAATACTATTTAATAACTAACCTATTTTTACTTTTCTTTTCCAAGTCATCATTTCCATCTACAATCATGAAAGCAAATAGAGATAACAAAATTAGTTAAAAAATAATCTCATGTTATGACCACTTCAGATAGAAAACCTATTTACAGATAACATTTCACTTCATTTATTTTTTTGACCATCAAAATACCCATACAGAAAAGATTATAATAATTCTATCAGGTCAGGGGCAGCTGAAGAAATTACTATGGCTCACTAAGTAACTATAGCCCATCAATGTAAAGTAACTTACACTTTTCTTTGTATTCAATACAACAGATTCCACATAAGTAGAAACAGCAACGGAGAATATACTTGAAGCTGAGCTTAGGAGCTGAACCAATTGCTTGTGTTTTCCATTCCTCCTTGTTTTTCTCTTCACTTTTTACCGCTAAGTCAAACTGGAAAGTCTCAAAGTGTGCAATACTAGGACGATATTTTTTTCTCATTGTAAGTGATGTGTCGCCTTCTACTGCTGTCATATCGTCACCTTTTATCTCAATTTTCCTGCAAAATATAAAGTCTGCAAAAAATCCCTTTAGATTAAAAAAAAATGTGAATATTCTTCTGACAACGTATCTGAATAACAAACTTCCTTGCTGATTTAGAGATTAATAGAGTTAACAGACAAACTAAAAAGTCAAAAATTGAATATTGAAGAACTATTTGAAGCACTACACTGTGTGGCCCAGCTTGTACAGTAACTTGTATTTTCACTATGGGTCTACTTGTGTACCCGACAAGCTGATACCAGTTACTCTCATCTGTCCATAACAGCGGCTGAGAGGGGCAGATCCAGGGGGACACAGGGAGCACGTGCCCCCTCCCCCCACCTTTAGCCACAAAATTTTAAAAAGTTCAATGCATATCAATGTTATGTGCTACTATCTTATCTATTCTGAAACTGTTGTTTCAGAATAGATAGAAGTTCCACATCCTTAGGTATACAAACCACCTCTCACCAATATTTAATACTTTAATCTTTTAACTTGTGACAGAAAATTGCTATCAAATTCAGTGTGCATAATACTAAACAACTCTTTGGCTTGGATTCTGTTAAAGTGGTAAATCCAGGAAATACTGACTTCACATTGAGGTGTATTTTTAAACCTAATTTAGCAAACATTATTTCTAAAAAAGAAACAAGGTATAACAAGTCTCACATTAGAAACATTTTCTGAGCAACTTACAAAGCAGAAACAGTATCCACAATATGACAGGGATAATGAAAAGTGCATACAATGCAGAGTTTGAACCATCTAAAAGAAAAAGATGATATAGAAGTATTTAAAAAATCCTCAATTGCTAAAATGATTGTTTCCACACATCTCCTAATTCAATTTATTTACTTACAAAATACTACTATTTTTTACATCAAAACATTTATCAGATATTAGAAATTAAAGGAATAAAAAAATAGTGGTATTTATGAGCAATAGGAAATGGAAGATCTTTTTATAGTTCGTTGTTAATTGATTCACAGGTTTTTTTGTTTATAAAAGTTTGTTATACAAACATGCATAAATATGCATTAGACTACTAATTAGTAGCAAACATATATTGTACTATAATATTCTAACTTTCCTTTGTTGTGAATGTTCGATTACTGTCTTGATTGGAAGGTGACTTTAATGAAATTATGGGATAAACCATAATATGTCATATCATCATATACTAATTCATTACTCAAATACTGTATATTCTTTACTAGTATGCCTATTTTACCTGCTTTAATATTATACACAGGATTATTACTGGAATGCCCTTCTTTTTCTAAAAGGTAATTTGACTCATTTGCAAAGGTCTTTCTAAAATAAAAATTATATTATGCTTTAGAATATTCTGTTACATATGGCAATACTTGGAGCATTTGGTCAACTGAGCTTCATAGAAAGATTATTTTAATTATTTTAGCTGGCAAAAAAATGTACAGATGTTAAGTAAATAGTCAGGTTTTTTTTTTCTTTAAGGGTGGGGGTCATTTATGAGAATACATTTTCAGGATAATATTATTGTTAACTATTGGCCCCTACAACAGTTATAACCATATTTGGCATTGAGGTTGGTTGACAGTTCCGTGATGGAGTGCAGCTTCCCCCTACCTAAGATAGACAAGGTCAAGTCTAAACACATGTATTTTCTATCTAGGCTAAAGGTACAGTTACGCTGTACCTTTGTAGTCATTGATAGGATTGCTTAACTTTGCTTGTTCGGTAGCTGTTCCCGGGAGAACCTTCCTTTGTCGGCTTATTAACCTTTCAATCAACGCCATACACCCATCTTTCTATATTAGATTGACAAAGGAAGTTAAAGCGGATCTTGACATGTGGCATCACTTCATTGATAACTTTAATGGGAAGGCGTTGATTCTTGAGGAGTCTTGGATTCTTTCGTCAACATTACGATTTTTTACTGATGCATCTGGTGCTTTACGATGCGCTGCTGTTTTCGGCACACATTGATTTGCTCTACGTTGGCCCGAGGAAATCAACCACCACCTTATTGCCCAAAAACAACTATTTTCTATAGTGCTCGCTATCAAGAAATGGGGTCCGGTCTTGGCTAACAAGTTTCTGTTTAGGTCCGACACTCAGGCTTAATAAGATGACAGCAAAAGACTTCACTCTGTTTATACTTTTACGCCGGTTAGTGCTGTCCTGTTTACGATTTAATATTCTTTTTAAGGCTAAACATATACCTGGAAAGGAGAATGTACTGGTGGATCTGCTGTCCAGATTTCGGTTTGAGAAAGCTAAAGCATTGTTCCCAACCATTGACCCTGTTCAGACACCAGTACGTGGCACTCACGTCCATATCTAAACTCATGTTATCCTATATGTCGAGCATTTGGCTCCATATAATTCCGCGTTCGTCACATTTCCATATTTCTCTCACTTCCCTCATTTTGTCTGTGCTTTCAACCATTGTTGCTGTAACATGGGTTTTTGGCGTATTTTACCCAGACTTTTAAGCGAATATCTATATACTATCGTATTAATTGTATTTTACAAGTTTAATTAAATTTATGTTAGATATTTTGTATACATTATGTCATATAATCATTCTGGAAAATGTNATGTGGGAAGGGGGGGGGGGGCTCAGTCAATAGTTAACACAATATATATACTTTGTGAGATTGCTAACCCCCTATTTCTGTAAGTTTTATTTTGTATGTATCTTCGTCATTTATTCAGCATTGTTAATAAATGACAATTTTATCCCATTCATGTGTATTGCGTAGTTTCCTTGTGTGGCTTAGTGGGTTGTGTGTTGGAGAAGCCTGGGAACACAAAACACCCTTTTTTCAGAATATAAGAGAAAAAACCATGGGGTTCACCGATAAGTTTGACATAAGATAGTATGAAACAAACTCCGAAAAAAGTGATACAAGCCATTATTCTACTGTTAAAAGAAAAAATCATTTGTGTCGCCAGGAGACTTCCGTAACGGCTGGCTTCAGCCGACTATACAGTGCCAAGCCGTCAAGCACAGCTAATAGGTAGGACCAGGGAAGAGCAGAATTCGCGCCCTGATTCTGTCTCACTTCCTTGCTTGCTTTCGTTACTGTGTCAAGTTTTTTTCAAAACCCACCTTCCGCCCCTTTCACCACCAGAATTGTAAATTTCTATTCTATTGGTATTTCACCCAGACTTTTAAGCGAATACCTATTTTTATATTATCGTATTAATTGTATTTTACAATTTTAATTAAATTTATGTTATATATTTTGTATATAATTATTCTGGAAACGTTGGGGGATCAGCCAATAGTTAACACAACATATATACTTTGTGATATTGCTGACCCCCTATTTCTGTTTTTATTTTGTATGCATCTTCGTCATTTATTTACCATTGTTAACAAATGACAATTTTATCCCATTCATGTGTATTGCGTTGTTTGCTTGCGTGGCTTAGTGGGTTGTGTGTTGGAGAAGCCTGGGGACACAAATGACAATTTGTTTACCTACTGTAACTATTTGTTAAATGGCAGAAACCACTGCAAGCAATTTTAATGATGCTGTGACATTAGGTCAGAGTTCCTTAAGCCCTGTCCAGACTATCAAATATTATATGACAAAGACAAGTGACACGCCTAAATATGGTAATGATGACATCACATCATGACCATATTAAGGCATATCATGACTATATATGGGCATACAACAGTTTTTGGTCAAAGAAAATTTAATAATCTGGACAGAGCCTTAGAGTTAGTATTGGCAAAAACCAGCTCATGTTTGGCATTATAAATATTGGCTAATAACTAATTTTTATGGAAGATGCATGGTATGCAGGCAATGTAAATTGCAATTGTGTATGCAATGTTAAATCAATATGGACAGAATCAAGAAATCACAAATGTAGCAAAATACATTTTCTTGAAAGGGTATGACCTTGGACCCTGTAGAAAATGTATATCCCATTTGCCTTTCCTTTAAGAAATTCCTGGATCCACCTCTGATTTACGATTTTATGAACTGAAAATTCTAAAAATAGAAATGACACAATAAGTTGAAACGTGGAATTATGGCCTCGCTCTCTCTATTCAGAGTAATGTTCATTCTATGTTATTTACACATAATCAGTGTACATCTGTTGGTTTATTAGAAATATAAAATTGATGTTCAATAATCTTTATTAAGTTTTCTTTGTAAATTCTTATTCCAAATTTTATAACTCTGTCCGTTCTTGGAATATAACAAAGCAAACAATAGCTGTACAGAAATTGGGGACTTTTTGTTTGCATTTCCAAATGAAAATAGAAACAGAAAGCATATGCAGTGAAAGTAAGCAGTGCAATAGAAAAATAATTAAACCAAACAAGTATGCAATAGAAAAATAATTAAACCAAACAAGTATGATACAGATATTATAATTCCTCAAAGCCATTTCCGTATATTCAATTCCATCCATAAATTTACTCTATCTATCATGCACTTAAACTGGGGATTAGTGCAGCGTAATTTTTATCTTTGATTATAATATGGACAGGGGTGGCGCCAGGATTTGCCAGACAAGAAGTCCGAGATTCCTGACTTTTGGAGACAATGTCCCAGATGAAAAAAAGTGGCCTTGTTAAGGCATCGTAGGGAAGCCCCTCCTGAAAAATTTAACAACTTGGGGTTTCAAATGCTTATTTAATCGATTTTGGAG